TTTTTTTATTTATTTTTTATAGCTGTTCAATTTGCCAACATATAGAATATCACCCAGTGCTCATCCCATCAAGTGCCCCCCACAGACAGTGCCTGTCACCCTGTCACTCCCCCCCCCTCGCCCATCTCCCTTTCTACCACCCCTTGTTCGTTTCCCAGAGTTAGGAGTGAGAGAGGTGATTTTTGTGAGCATCTCAATATTTTGATATAAGAAACAAGATTTGATATGAGATATGAGAAACAAGACTATATGAGATGAGAAACAAGATTATAAGTGAGATCAGCAGTAACTGCAATGTGCAGCATCCTTAGTTAAATATGGCAGCTCATTAACACGTGGATTCCAGGCAAAGCTTGTGTTATAATTGGAGTTTAAGTTGCAAAATATGCTTTGACCGCAAAAGTCCATCATCAATTCTTCCAAGTTAATTACTTTTAAGATTCAAGAGTAGATACAGGAAGAGCCAAAGGGAAATGAGCTGGGAATTTACAGAGATTATGGGCAAGGCATGGTTACACATAGATCAAGAAATGGGGCATTTGGTTTACATTTACCTAAAGTCTCCAATGTCTGGGTTATATGCATTTCAAGTGTAAGATAGTATATGTGGCTGTGGGTGTGGGTGTGTGCATGCACATAACTATCTGTATGTTTAGAAAATGGACTTTAATTGAATGGAAAAATCAATCAAGTTTACAAAGAGATTGACATCATTGTTTGTTCAGATGAATCAGAGTTACAGTTCCAGACCAGAGACTCATTTAGAGGAATGGACTAAACCCACAACTTATCCTAAGCATTCAACTGATGAATGCACATGATCCTAGGATGTTCTTCATAAATAATTTTCAAAAGTTGACTTTCCCAGTCAGGGAAGAAAAGAATGACTAGAGAAAAAGGCAGAGAAAACTGACTTAGGTAAAGACTCACATCAAATATTAAGACTAGTGATAACAAAGGAGTTGTAAATAATTGAAAGATTGCAAAAGAAAGAAATGATTTCAAAACAATTGAAAACATTGTGGCTGAAAGGAGTGTTACATATGGAAGCATGGAAAACTATGTGAGAATTTAAAAATAATTAGTATTTCAGTTCGATTTAGTAGATGGGTATTGAATACTAATAGATTGTAAACGTTGCAAGAATATAATGATGAGTAAGAGTCCTTTCCTTCTAGAAGTTCACAGTAGTAGAGGAGGACAAATAATTTTCCCCATAGACTTCTAGATTCTTGGCTGAGAAACCCAGTAATAAAAGACAGATTAACAGGAGAAAAACAAACTGAAGCTTAATAACATGCCTACAACCTGTGTACATGGGAGATATCCATAGGAGATAACTCCCCCAAATGGCCCAACCCTCCACCTTAAATGACATGTCCAGTTAAAGACAAAAGAAGCTGTTGAGGCGGGTTGAGGGGGCCAAAGAAAAGCACCATAAACAAGTGGAAGGGTGCTGTGCAGATCTAAGACCTTCCCCACTGGATAAGAGTTTCTAGAGATTTAGTTATTCTTCTTCCTGGTACAGAGAGGGAGACAGCCTTACAAATGGAGATTCTCCTTATTAACATCAGTATCTCTGACGAAAAGGTAACTCCTACATGGTTTTCAGAGCTCCTGTATCTACTGTTTCTTGAAAATAACCATTTTGGGGACACCTGGGTGGCTTAGTGGTTGAGCATCTGCCTTTGACTCAGGTCGTGATCCCGGCGTCTTGGGATGGAATCTCTCATCAGCCTCCCTCTGCTTCTCCCTCTGCCTATGTCATGTCTGTTTAGATGAATGCCTTTCTCTCTGTGTCTCTCATGAATGAATAAACAAACAAACAAACAAACAAATAAAACATTTCAAGAGAATCAATATGGCAAAGAGGCAGGCATAATTTGGGGTGACAAATTCTGCTCTCCTTCACATTTCTCCACAAATAGATGAGCAGTTAGCAGACTCTGGGATGAGTAGAAGTAGCTAAAACTCGTTCAGAATTCAAACTTGGAAAGGTTTACTTCTACAGTCTTTACAAAATGAGAGATAATGTCAGAAATAAGAGAAAAGGAGGTCTACAGGAAGATGGAGGGCTGATTCCATGGGGTTGGAAACACCAAAGGGAAAGTTTTAGGTATTAAAATTAAAACTCAAAGTATGAAAAGGCTGGAGAGACCGGGAAGCTGTTAATGGAGATGATGAAGCCTCCAAAGGTACAGGAAGAAATCACCTGGAATGGAAGAGCTCAAGTTGTTGCTGAGCTTTCTCATCTCCAAACTAGGTCTACAGATGACTCTCTCCAAATGCCAATCTTTCAGGCGTTTCTGTTGATTATCTCAAGGCATTAACTAATAAAGGTCTGACTTAGTTCACAGTACAAGCTCTGAAATCTATGTAGGTAGGGACGTTGCCATCTATAGGTCCCCGGAATAAACCTATTTAGACGGATAAAGAGATAAACCTATTTGGAGTTAGCCATGGTGACCTCAGACTGGAAGACCAACACATGAAGATTTTCAAAGGATGGTAGTCAAACTCTGTATTCGTTATTGTAGGGGCTAACTAAATGCTAACAGGATTTTAGGCAAAGCCTTTAAAGTAAAAATGGTTTACCAATCTCCATAGGAAAGTACCTCAAATCCTGCTTTAAAGGCATCATTTGGGTACTTCCTAGAATACTTTTTTTTAAAGATTTTATTTATTGATTCCTGAGAGACACACACAGAGAGAGAGAGAGGCAGAGACACCGGCAGAGGGAGAAGCAGGCTCCATGCAGGGAGCCTGATGCAGCACTCGATCCCAGGACCCTGGGATCACTACCTGAGTCAAAGGCAGATGCTCAACCACTGAGCCACCCAGGCATCCCAAGGGATAACAGATTTTTAAAATACCAGTTGAAGATCAGAAAAAGTTTACCTATATTCATAATCTTACCACAAAAAGTTTCACATTTTTTTCTCCCTAGAAGAAAAATAGTGTCTAGCATCTATTTGATTTTAGATCATTTGACATTAGTTAACATATTTTCCTCCAACTCTTTCAGATTTACTATATATTTTAAACAATTATCAGATTGACAGTATGCAAGTGATATTTTCTCAACATTTTCTTGAGCTTTATTTATTAATCGCTTGAGGAGAATAGGAATCACATTTCCTTTTTACTAGCAGGCTGCTATCACACGTTTTTAAAGATTATTCTTTGTATTTGCAATCCAAAAGCAGATAAAGCAACTAATTTAAATATCACACAAAGCATATAAAGTTCCTCTATTTTTTTTTTCATCAACGTGGCTATAAGAGAATTCTATCACAAAGAGTGAGAAGAAAGTAAATATAATCCTCAGAAATCTAATTAGGTGAAAATAAAAAGCCTTTTAAGCCTCTGTTGCGCCCTCTTGTGGTAGGAAAGCAACTGTTTAGCAGTATATAGTTTCGCATTTCTTTGTCAATTAATGACCTTTGGCATAAGACTTTCAAGTGGGTCATGTTCAATATTGCATTTTACATTAAATTTGCAAAACAAACTAAAAGAAGAATGCCATCCTTTGTTAGATCCCTGAACATCAAATTATACAAATGATTCCTTGCTATTTTAAATAATTATTCAATGTCTGAAATTAAGCTCTTTTCTTACGTTTAAGGTAAAAATAGAGAAGTTAATCTCATTGAATATACCGTAAAATATAAATAAATTCTCTAGAGAAAATAATGCAGATTTTTCTCTATTGTTATTATATGACTGATATACTTAAACAGTAAATAAGTCTCAGACAATGTTCCCTTCAAATATTCACATTCCTAACTGCATCCCCTTTTCAGATCATTCCATGTATCCTGAAATACTTCATGCAAGAAGAAAGCTTCACTCCAAAAGACATTTTGAGCAATTTTTTTTTCTGAGGACCCAGAGATGAAATGAGCATCATTGTCATTTATAAAATACGATGTGGAGACACTGTCTTAGAAATCTGACTTTGGTGGATGGTGATTGTTTAGGACTGTTTCCTTTCCAAAAGGACAATTTCTATGTGACAAATAAGCATTTTTATGACTCTAACAGGGGGAAAAATTGATGTAATGGTAAAAACCAGTAAGAAGGAGATTATAAAAAGAATAGGTTATAGCATCAATGAATCCAAAAGGAGCAGAGCAATGCAGAGGGAAAAGAGTAGTGTATCAGAAAACATCGGTAATATATAATGATACGGATTTCCACCTATCAACACAAATAGTTGTTAGTTGGATTTCATAAACATGACATTGTTTTTCTAAGACATCTAACCAAAGTCAGCATACATAATTCAATCATTCTCTCAGTTACTTAAAATAAAAACTTTCCAATTTGTTAGGAAATAATGTCCTGTTCCTTAGAACTACTGGTCTTTTATTTTTTAATTGTTTTTTTCTTTCTTTCTTTTGTTTTCCAGTTAATCTCTATATCATACCTGATTCTCTGATTATCTTTCACTTTCTTCCTTCTTCTAGCATTCATTGTATAAGACCTATATTCGCCCCTAAACCAGAAAACATTTGCTCCCAAGTGTGGGTTATCAGAAAAGAACCCCAACTCTTTAAGACTCCCAAAGCTTAAGAATCACTGATTTCATACATTCATCTCGGAGACTTTGCTTATATTAGAAATAACAGTTCTCACACTTCACAAAATCAAAATGACAACTTCTTGGAGTCAGAAATGAGAGGAAATGGGGAAAGAGAGGTACTGTAAGTTTTTTTTTTTCCCATTATGCTCTATATGGAATTGCTTTTGAATGACTCCCATGCGTCAGAAATCCAGAGCAACAGTGGCAATTAGGGTAGATGTCACTTTCACTGGAAGTGGGGGAGGTGTGTGGGGGGACAAAGGAAAAGGGGAGGAGGAAGTGGAGAGAGGAGAGGAGGGCACATCCTGAAAAGATAATCCCTGTGCTATCATGACATCATCGTTCTGCATGTATATATAGGGAATGGCCAAAGCATCTCTCAGAGTTCACTTTCCAAGTCAGCTGAAGGCAAGGGGAAACGCTAGAGAAAGCCCCCTTCAGCCTGTCTGTGACGTTTATGGGCTTGGCTTGCTAGAAGGCTCAAGGAGATGATGGCAGGAATGAAAATCCAGCTGGTGTGCATGATACTTCTGGCTTTCAGCTCCTGGAGTCTGTGCTCAGGTAAGCTTAGCTGCATTTCACAATTCCCTGGAGTGATTTCTTTTTGGGTTTTTTTTTTTTTTCACTGTATTGCTACTTATGTTAATGCATCCAGGGAAAAGAGTTTCTACTTTATTCAGGATTTGCTTTCTCAGTGATACAAACTGAGTATATTCTTTCTCTGTCATTATGATTACAAGAACTGAGAGATTTCAATTTCCCTTTTAAATCTGAAAAGTAATCAAAGAGATTTCAATGACACACTTCATGCCCTCCTCTTGGAAGGTAACCACCAGAGTAGAAGCAAAAATGTGTAGAACTTAAATTAGGCTGGTCAAAATCTGATGAGAAGTACAGATGCAGTGCCTGTCAAACTGCAAGCTCACAGTTAAAACCCATTCCTTTCAAAATGCTTTTTCTCATCCTCACCCATTCTCTTAGGAAGCAGAGGCTTCTCCCTCTCCCAGATTATTTTTTTCTTAACTGTGTGTGTATGTTAAGATACAAATGAAGTGAAAACTGATGTTTAATGAGTGAATGAATGAACCGTTATTTATAGAAAATTATTCCTAAAAATATAAAAATACTCCAAGTACTGTTAGACAATACATCTTGTATAGTCCTTCTATGTGACAAATAAGCATAGTATTAATTTAGTTTTTTTCATGTTAAGTTGATACAAAATGTAATTGGAAAATTGGCATGTTTATATCAATGTTTTGCATGTGATATCTAAGAAGCCATGTATTGCTAAAGATCTATCTATAGCTTACCTTGAAAATAAGACTTGAATTTAAAAGAGTAACATGAAATGTTATAATATTGCAATATCACATCAAAGTGGAAAAAAACATAGGGGATAAATGCAGCAAAAATCATTTCACCTGTTTTATACTTTTTATTTTATAAATATGACATTGAAATGTTTAATCCAGACTCCTGCTATGATCTTATTTAAATTTCGAAACTAAATCTGGCAGAAGATATAAATGTTAGCAATTTTTTTATTTCTTTTGATCATGAGAAAAAAAGATCTTGAGCTTCTAGGTTCACAAAACTTTTAATGGTATAAATACCAAATTTTCTACAGTTATGATTTTATCTATTACATGAGGTTAAGGGTATATTTAGAGCATATGAAAAAAAATTGGGTTATTGATTAAACACTGTGTTTACTAACTCTTGAATCTTCTTGGTCTGATAAGTCAAAATCTGTAGGGATTTTGGTATACAGTGTTCCTACCTAAATGGCTAAAGGAATTTGTCATTCTCTTGAGAAACAGACTGGGCTTTGAGCAAATAGGAGAAAAAGACCTCTGGTGTAATTTAGGTCTGGATACAATTTAACAAATGCTTTCTCTAAGTGTGACACTTCTTTTTATTAAGAGTGTGTACTTCAGGGAAGATGGTCATTTTAACATTTGCTTTGTTTTATGACAGACCAGTGAGTATGAATTAAGTCATGTAATTATGGTCTTCTATAACTTTATTCCTATTACTAGTAGTATTTTTCTAAAGTTTTCTTCTCTGCTATATATTGACTAGGGGAAATTGGAAAGGATGTCCTAATAAAAGTCAGAGGTTCATTTTCAACACAAGTACACATGTATTGATGGACAATTCCACTTTGGCTTACCCAATCTGCTTAATAGCTTGTGATAAAATAGCTAAGTACACATAACTCTAAGTTCTTCATTTAAAGTAAAAAAACAAACCTTTCAAAGTGTGTTTTGTAAAATAACATCTCAAGTTGACTAAATCTCAGTATCTTTCTTATCCTAAAATTATCGGTAAACAATCCCTTTGGTTTTGTCTTGAAAAAGCATCATGTACACATCTTTCATTATGTTGTTTTTAAAATATCAATATGCATATATTCTATATATGTAAACTATTGCTGGTAAAAATTAACCAGCATTTTTGATGAAATCTTTAATATGATACAATCAGTTTTTTAAAGAAAAATACTGAGATTCAGAGATTAAACAACTCAATACATCAATAACTCTTTTGACATATAATCATGTGTTTATTTTCTTAGAAGTGCTTTTATTATTCTAGCTGCCTGTTAGCCCAAAATAAAACCATAATTATTTTTTTCTGAATATTATTTTAAGGATAATAAATGCATAGAAAAACAATAATCCTCTAAGACTAATTTTTTTGAGATTAATCTAAAATCTGTAGGTTACAATATAATTATTTGATATATGATTATATAGTAAACATGTGGTTTTGATTTTACTCAGATTCAGAAGAGGAAATGAAAGCATTAGAAGCAGATTTATTGACCAATATGCATACATCAAAGGTAACTTTTTCTTTTCTTTAACCAAGAATTGAAAAGCATATAAGTTCTCATTATGAACATGATGTCCTTTTCCTACAGTTAATAACTTCCCATTAAGACTAAAAAGTTCATCGACAAGCATTTCCTTTTTTCAGGAAACTTTTCCTTGAGTTCAAAGGAGTTAAGGGTGTTGATGCGAAAGGAAAAGAAATTATAGTGACTATCCATCAGTATATTGCAACTTTAATTAGGTAGTCACATATTATTTATGCGGAGATGACAATGTATTTAAAGGAATCCTGTTTCCACTCCTATCACAATGTGTGCAGCAGAAGGTATGCCTTCCGTTAAATAGATGCAGGAAAACGAAGAGACATTTTAGCCTTTTTTCTTATATTGGGAAGAGTAAAATGGAGTTCTAAATTAAAAACCTCCTAGTCGTTTACATTAAATCCGACTAGATTTACATTCTCCCTATAACAGAAGTGTCATCTACACTGCATATGTTTTTTACTGAATCAAGTGAAACTTTGCATATCCGACTGTTATTCCTCTCTTGCGGTCTTGAAAACAAGGTTCCTAGATCCCAACCTGTACCTAGAAATAAAACAATTAGAACATACTTGATTACCCTGCTACTACACAGTATTGATTTACCCAGAACAAGTCAATCAGTGTGTATCTAAATGCAGAAACAGAGAACAGAATTTCCAACCAAAAGACGTTTCTCAAGGAAAAATCAAATTTGAGTTGAGGCAGACTCCTGGTATAATTACTACCATAGCACTGGGGTACCAAGGCAGAGGATTCAACAGATGTTATGAGAAGAAGGTAAGTGCTCAAAAATCCTAATTTTTGAAGCAATACTCCAACTCATTCCTGCTACCTCAGGTTTCTCTTCCTTAATTGGATGAGCATGTCCCAGGTACAATGATCCCTATTATACTTGTAGAATTATATATGATAGTGGTTTTGAAGGAGAAATACCCATTTTTGGATGTACTTGAGAGTGTGGGGCATTATTATCTGAAAGCTAACAAAGATATGTTGTCTACAATGATCCTTAAAAGACATTTGGGGAAAATTTAAGTGTGTATATTTTCACCATTGCCCAGATCTACTGAAGTTGAATAGATTAAAACCAAATTCTTTCATTGTTTGGTAGGCTTTCCACCAGGAGAGATCAAATTTAGTTTAGTCATTAAAACTCAATAACAAATAATGACCTTAAGATAATTGATCTTTTGTTTCATATTCTGTCTGAATAGCAATGCTTACAATTACTTCAACTCAAAAATAGGAAAACAAGTAAAGCCAATAGTTTGTGTTTAAAAATGGGGCAGATTGGAATGACTTAGCTTCTCAGTAGAGATTTTACCTCTGCAATTCTAAGTTTACATTGACACGTAAAAATCCTAAATAATCCCCCAAATGTAGTACAGTTGGGGGAGTGCTAGCTACTTTGTGAAAATGTGGAAGTAGGGCTAGGATTTCTTCCCTAGAGTTGCAAGGGAAAAACAATTCCAGTTTATGGAGTGGTTTGGTTTTTCTCTTAAATACATAAAAATACAGGTACAATAACATTTTTCTCTTTTATTTAGTCTTGGAATATATCTCTAAAACAGATCAGGGAAAAAATTGAATCCCATTGCCTCCTTATAACTGAGGAAAGTAAAATACAGTCTATAAGGAGAAGGCACCCAGAAGCATAATTCTTTCAATTTTGCTGCTCGGATAGGAACAAAAAACTCAGCTCACTCCTTATTTTTTTTTCAAAACTACTATTGTTTATTTTTCTCTGGCTTAATTGATTTCTGGTGGGTGTAGAGTTCTATGCAAATGAAAACTCCAAACTTATGATCATTTTAGCTTATGATCATTTATACTACATTTAAAAATGTAAGAGAATAGTATTTGATATTGGTAGAACACCATTATTAAAAGCTTCAGAAAACTTCAGGTTTCTTCTTTCCACTTTAAAGGTAAAATATTTGAGCAATTTCAGTTTTAGAATAAAGCTCTTTAGACATTGAAATACTAGTGTGAAAATTTACTTAACAGACAGTCAAGAGAGAGTCCAAAGCTTGAAAAGTGGAAGATAAATTTTTCTTATAATGTAATTCTCTTTATTACCAGTGCTAGTTTTCATATTGTTCTATTAGGAAAGAGAACTTGGCATAGAAGGCCTTTTTTCAGGATCTCAGAAAGCTGTTACAATGTTGTAATTTTCTATGATCAAACTTAATGCCTTGTATGCAGTAAGAGTTTAATATTTTGGAACTAACAATGGCAATCTAGGATCATTACTAATCCTCACATTTTGTATTCAATTATAAAACTTCAGAACTCCCCCACAAATGACTTTAATTATTTTCAGTTCAGTGAAATATTTGAATTCACAATTTGCAGGACTCATCTGAGTTCAGGGTATTACAGGGAGTGAGTGTTGCCCACATGGATTAAACTCAACTAAGGAGACCAAGGACAGAGCCTGAGGTTGGGACCTAGTTAAGAGGGGGGCTCAAAGGAGCCTGATTTAAAGAAAGAGAGCCTTTGCCATTTTTCTGAATGAAATAGTTGAAACCTTATACAAAATATTCTCAAATACAAGATATCTAACTTAGACACCCTGAAGTCAGTAGAGTTTTCTCTGCTGGGCTTCCTAGGTATGACAGGGACCAATGTGACCTTAAATAATTGTACTATTGAGTCATGTAGTGACTACTTTAACTGGCAGAAAGAAACAGGATGATTAATTCAGTTTCCTCATCCAAAAAAGTAACCAGATAACACAAATCCTGACAGATACTTTACAAATAAAGCATTCTGGGGTCATATTAGTTTGGGGAATATTTGACACTATATTGGCACCATTAAAAAGTTACAATGGGGGCACCTGGCTAGCTCAGTTGGTAGAGCATGTGACTCTTGATCTCGGGGTTGTGAGTTCAAGCCCCATTTTGGGTGTAGAGATTACTCAATAATAATAAATTAAAAAAAATTAAAAGTTACAATAAATATGTGCAAGTAAAAAAGCTCTGAGGATACCTAAGTTCAAGAAATCTTTACAATTTCTTTAAATTTAAGTTTTCCATTGTACTTGACAGGAGAACTCTTTGAAAAACAATGAGTGCAGTGTTCTAAGGAGTACACTTTAGAAAACATTCAATTAGATGATCTACAAAGAACTTTCTAAATGTAAAATCATAGTATCCCATTAACTGGCATGATAAGGTGTTGCTGCCAAACAGTGGAGCATGTCTCTAAGTTTTCCATAACAGAAGAGCTTAAGCAATGGCTGGATAATTGAATTCACAGGGTATGGCTGAAAGGATTTCTAAACTGGCTAAAACCATCCTATGTTATGTTATTATATATCATATTCAAGTCAATATCTTTGTACTCTTATATTTGCATGTTCTTAGGGTAAAATCTTAATCAAAGGGTGTGTACACTTTCCATTTTAACACAAGATATCCTTCAAAAAGTTACAACATTTTACACCCAGACTGACAAATATTTAGAAGAGGAAGTGTCTGTATCCCCATCCCCATGTCCCTAGAACTACACCAAATGAGTGTCCCTGTCCTTTTGAAAGTCTTCTGAGGAAGTGTTGGTGGCCAAGTTGAACATCTTTCCATATATTTCTTCTTTGATAAGGGATTCTGTGACTTGTTTACTCATTTAACTTAAACACAGTTTAAAATTTTTAGTTTTTTTTTTTAAATTGGTGCATTCAGCAGTTTCTTTTTGAAGATCTCTACCTGTATTAAGGATATTAACATTTTGTGGCAGCTTTTACATTAAGGCTGGTCATTTTCCAGAGATGTTCTACACATTTATTTATTTAAAATCATCCTTTTCTTTATGGATTGTGGTTTAGATATTTGCTTAATAATACCTTTCTAGGTTTATAAAACAAACTTTATATATTTAGACACTATTCTACTTTTACTCATTTGTAACTACAGTAAACTACAATAGATCAAGAAAGTTATAACTAGATATAAGTCCAGATTTCCTGATAGCCAATTGTCTCAAGGATTTCAAATGCGAACTCTGTTATACGCTGCTCATTCATTTGTACTTGGACCAATTCGGGGATATTATTTTCTATTCTGTTGGGTTTAATGTTGCCTTTTGCTGAGCCTTTAAAGTACACTTCAGTATCTGGTAGAATAAGTTCCTCCTCATTACCTTTTTATTTTTCTAAATCTTGTTATTCTCACACCTTCATACTTACAAATTAATTATTTTGCCAAATCCCCAACTCCAAAGTCCGGTATCCCCAGGTTTTCCAAATTGGAATTTTTTTTTTCCAAATTGGAATTTTGATTTCCAATTGCATTATAGGGGGGGAGGTAATTCAGAGACAATGGACATGTGATACTGCCATTATTGAATCCTCCCATCGTGGTTGTGTGGTCATTCACATTAGTGTGTGTGTGTGTGTGTGTGTGTGTGTGTGTGTGTTTAGGAAAAATGCATGCTTTCCTTTATGCCATTTGAAATTTTTATTATTTTGCATTTAGGTTCTCCTAAGTCTTTATATTTCCTCACTGATTATTATTGGCACATAGGAAAGTTATTGATGCTAATACTGGTTTCAGACAAGATATAATTAGAAAAAAATGGTAACTCTAATTATTTGTAAATTATTAATTTACAAATAAATAAATTGATCAGCTGTGATGCTGCCTATGAGAACTATTGATGTGTGGAATAGATTAGTGATCTCACACTACTGTAATTGTCCAAATCTGTTAGTATCATCGCAGTCCATGCTCCATTAGACACCAAACTGAAGTGTAGTAAAGAGAATAGTATTTTTAATATTTTCATCTGTGATATATGCATATATGTTTACATATTTATACTCACAATTATTTCTATATTTTTGCTTTGCTCATGTATGTGTGCTTGTGTGCATGTTTATAATTGTATTACATTAAAAAAATAGAATATAAGAGGAATTGGTACTAATAAATTTTGTGATGTAAGGTTACTAAATTAATAGCAGTGTAAATATGAAGCTAGAGTAAGAGATTCTAAAATATAATGGCTTTAATGGCTTAGCATAATGGAAATTAATTTCTTATTTCATATAATACAAGTTTTAATTACCTATTTTTTAATTTTAAGTACCTAATTTTTTTCTATATTTCAGATCAGTAAAGCAAGTGTTTCTTCTTGGAAAATGACCCTGCTAAATGTTTGCAGTTTTGTCAATAACCTGAACAGCCAAGCCGAGGAAACAGGAGAGTTTCGTGAAGAGGAGCTTATTACAAGAAGGAAATTTCCCACTGCCTTGGATGGCTTTAGCTTGGAAGCAATGTTGACAATATACCAGCTCCAAAAAATCTGTCACAGCAGGGCCTTTCAACAATGGGAGGTAAAGCAAAAACAAAATATGAATGTAATTATCGTTATACTAGTTAGCTTTCATTTGTACTGATTTTTTTCTACCCCGATCATTATCATAACAGGAAGAGTTACAGATATTAAAGAAGAATAAACCATGTGTTGAGGTTAACATTCCTTCAGATCTTCAAAGTGTCCTTCAAATATTTGGAGTTTAGCAAAATATTTTTTCTTCAATCTTAAAAGGGGGATATATCTTAAGGCAGATTTGATCCACATGCTTTTATTGTGCTTAGATGGATGGCATACTTAGGCAATTTTTGGTGGGTGCATGCCTATATAATTTAAGAGCTCAAAATGTTTTCTTAGAAACACCAAGTCATGTGTGTTTATAAACAAACACAAAATGAAAGGTTTTACTTGTATTTGAATATATCAGGCAAATAAAACTGGAAAAATCCATATATATGTATTCCTATTTCAATTGAATACATAGATTTCAGGTATCCTTAGCATCTAAACTAGGACCACCACAGCCAACGCAGCCAAAATCCATTATACAGAAAGAACTACACTAAAATAGGATGAAACAGTTGTATTAAATACTATACTAGTGATTTACTGCCTTTGATTTTGGAATAATTGTTTGTTTGAAGGAGGAAAAGAGAAATGAAAATGCTTTAAAGAAAAAAAAATTAAAAATTTTTCCAACAAGGGAACCATTTCTCTCATATTAACCTCTAAGAGAAATCTGCTTAATGATTTGTATTTTGGGTTTACACCAACATGGCAAATCTGAGGGTGCCTTTCCTGCTATATAGCAATCTCTGTAGATGACTATGACAGAGACACCCTGTGGAAAAGAAGAAATGCAAACTAGAACTTCTAGTGTTTATTCTAACTTGTAAACAAAAAGTTGTTTTCTAGATGAAAAACCAAAAAAAAAAAAAACAAAACTAGTTTCAATTTTACTTGATGGACTACTAATCCCTAATTCCAATTCCAGCTAAATAGTTTAGTCTCTAAAATATTGTTTAAGTCAATAAAACTTGAAAAATCCTAATTTTAACATAGGGAAATGTCAAGTGTGTGCTATTTATCCAGGAATTGAAAAGAAAAAAAACCTCAATAAATTATTATACATACAAATCAGGTGCACATACAATTAGAACTTTCACTATTTTAAATGTTTTACAGAGTAATTTAAAATAAAGTGATAATATCATTCAGAACATAATATGAATAATTATAGACTATGTTCATGGAGAAACATAAGATTTAGAAACTAGATTGTCTGCCAGTACCTGTTTTTTCTTCTCTGAAATTGGATGTTATGGGTTGAGATAAAGTACTTGGTGATACAACTCAGTCCATAAGCATTATAATTAAAATTTTAGTCTCCTCTTAGTATTTCTTATGACCCCAAAGTTTAGAGGACAATCACGAACACAAAGACAATTCTTATTTTGAACATTTGTTTTAAAATTTCACATAAATTATGTGCAACATTCTGGGACAAGTTCTTAAACATTTTCTGCTAGCTGAAATTTTTGAATCACACCTGTACCAGAAAAAAAGTGTTCAGAATTAATTTTAGAACGTGGCATATTCAATGAGATAGTAGGGAAGATTCTACATGGAGATGAACTCCCTTAAGTTATGGAATCTGAACTTGTTTCTAATTATTAGGCGCCACAACCTGAAGAGATCTTTACTATTTAAGCAGAGCTTTCACATGCGTGAATTTCTGTCACAACTAAGTTAGGCAGAGCAGGCATTTCTCTCCCTTTGATTAAGAAATGGATCTTTGGAATGGCTTTCAAGTCAAGTTGGTAATTAAGAGGATATAAAATATAAAATCCTGTTGCCTTTTGAGGCTAAACTTGGCTTACTAAATTAAAAACTCTTTATTTGTTGTGATTTATAATATATTTTAATGACATTTTGTCCCTCTGTCATAAATTAAAGCCTGAAAAATCCTCGTAACACAACTAGGTGTGTTACTTCAGTTGGAGGTATTAGTACATGGCCTTGAACAGAGAATTGGGAAAAACCATATCCTATCTCAGTCAGCTGATAGTCATCTGTCCTTGGACAAAACATTTAGTTGCTTTAAACCTCATGTATCTTATCCACATGTGTCTTACAGTCTGAATAGCAAAAGAGGTAAAATGTAAAATGTAGAAAACTCTGAAAGACGTCATGCATGTACGTTTGATTCCTATTGTGCCTATCTTGCAGTTAATCCAGGAAGATGTTCTTGATGCTGGAAATGACAAAAATGAAAAGGAAGAGGTTATAAAGAGAAAAATCCCTTATATTCTGAAACGGCAGCTATATGAGAATAAGCCCAGAAGACCCTACATACTCAAGAGAGGTTCTTACTACTACTGAGAGGATAACTATTTCATTTACATGTGATTGTGATTTATCATCCTTTAATTAAATACCAAATTATATTTGTGTGGTAATGTGACAGAAAACAATTATTGTGTCTCTTCTACAGTTGTGGTTTATTGGATGTGATTTTCTGCATTAATATTAATTGGACTAAATGTTTTAAAATAAACCTAGATCTTGAGCATGACAATGTGTTGCGTGTCATTGGAGTAGGTATTACTTAAGTCACATATAGAATGTCTTGTAATTTTGCAGAGCACTTAATGGGTTGTTTAAACACTCAAAATGTTTGACATTTTAAACCAAATTATAAGGGATTACAATGAGTCCTACAGCAAAGTCTAGCATATATGTCATTGACCCGAAACAAAGTTATAGTACTTCTCTTATCATTTGATTTCTTTTTTTAAGTTGAGAGAACGACATGTTCGTTTCCAAGACTCACATAATCCTCTGAGATATGGGGAAGGTAATAGTGGTAAGATAGGATCATCTTAAAAGAATGATTAATAAACTACTGTTAATTATGCCTATCTTAGTGAATGATCTTCAGCGAAGTTAGTCTTTCTGTTAAATAAACTTAATGACTAATAAAAAGCAGCAAGCTGCTGGAACCATGTTTCTCCCCAAATTTACTTTCATTAGAAGAGTTACCATTTACTGACTTTTTCCCTCATGCTTTGATCCAGTAAATGATAGCTTTATTTTTAATTTCACTGAGGAATTTGTGTGCCTCATATTTTTTCCAAGTAGAAGAACATTTCTGAGGCGGAAGGAATTCTTGAAATAATTCCTCATAAATTTCCTTTAAGACCATACTTAGTTAGGGTCCCATAAGCCCTGACACTCTATACATTCCACCATTAGCAGTGGCTTTTTATATTCTCACCCTTAGAGGGGTCTAGGAAGACCTCTCCTCACAGGGCTGCAACCTAGTTCATATTCATTTATGAAAGAAAATATGAGGATTGAAGTTGTGGAATTAAAGGAGTCTTCAAAACTCCAAGTATTTTTGAAAAGATTTCCTTACCTTTAGGCTAAACTCCAATCAGTAGGATAGAGCAGCAGCATAATAGTCTCTGAGTTTTTCTGGTAATACCATGACTTCTCAAGACCACCACCCAGTTAGTTGTCCTTCACCCTCGTATCAGCTTCAACATTAAGAAGTGCCCAAGGGGGAAAAAAAGTGCCCCAGGGGTAGAGTGGGGGCGGTGCTACATGGTACAGTCACTTAGGTGGCTGACTCTTGATTTTAGCTCAGGTCATGATCTTAGGGTGTTGAGATTGAGCCCCACAGTGTGAGCCCCACATTGGGCTCCATGCTAAGCCAGGAGTCTGCTTAAGATTCTCTCTCTCCCTCTTCCCCTCCCACTTGCTCTCTCTGAAATAAATAAATAAATCTTTAAAAAAAAAAGAAAGTGCCCAAGGCCCTGATCCTAAGACAAAAACTATTTCTTAGCGATTAAGAGATTCAGTTCCACTATTCACTAGTAACCCCGGACAACTTATTTAACTTCTCTTCCCTCAACTACAAAATGTGGATAATAGGATTTGAAGGGGGGATAAAATGGTCTCATACATGTAAAATGCTTAGAATGGAGTCTGAACATATTCATAACACACTATATTTAACTGTTCTCCAGCCACTTTCATACCATTTTCTTCTTCCTCTTTCAAAAACTACAGAGCTTAGCACACCTTCATAATTACATCTGTTTTGAGCAACTACTGATCTCCTAATTACTTGCTTCATTCAATACCCTTGAGGACTTCTATGCCATGTGCAAGAGCCATACAATAATCTCCCTTTTCAGCTCCTGACATCTTTACTTCCAGTAATAAACATTTAATCTATTTAATCAGCAATCACTTCATAGCCATACCACAGAACTTTTTACTACCAATAAATTCAACTATAAGTCTCCAAAATCTCAACTATATGCACTCTACTCTCTACATACCATCTTTTCTTTCCAATTCACATAACATAACACTGTCATACCGACTAACCCATTGTCTCAACCTCCTTCATTCATCATCTTCTACTAAGACCCCCACTTTGCTTTTTACTTGGCTAAGATTCTATGGGCCAAAACTAGAATCACTCCCTTGTTACCCTCAACATCCTGACCCTCTACCTTATATGAGCCTTATATGAAAACACCCATTTAGTGACTACATGTAGGTAGGAATGGTTAAGTTGGAGCCAATGAGATTTCAAATGGGAAAAAAGATGTGTGCAACTTTTGGGTCTTTTATAACTTAAACAGAAACCTCATTTCCTAAACTTTGACTTTTTCCTCATTTTTTTGTGTGTCTTAAATATGAATTTGTTTTGACCACACAAAGAATATCATTTTCTTGAGAATGGCATAGATTGATAGAGTTTAATCTTAAACAACTTCATGGAAAAAACCTGCCTCACCATCCTGGGCCAACCAGACTGTTACTTGAAAGAGAAATGCATTCTACAGTGCTTAAAGCACTGTATTTTTTAACCTGGTTGATACAACACCTCAACCATTATTTTCATTGTTATGGTCTTCTGCAGGCCTTCTCCTGGTTTATTTCTTCAAATCATCCAGATCTCTGCACCTGTGATATGTACAATGAGACCTTTTCTTAGCATACTGTCTTAAATAACCTTCATTTATGAGTCAATGTCTCCATTTAATTTGCCCTATTGTTTTTTAATATTTGAAAAAGAAAAAACAAAACAGTGACTGAGAGTCACTAGCTGGGAGTCGGCCTGGCACACCTAGGCCACGGGTTTCTCCTGTTACACATAAATAATTTCATTGAACTAAGCCTTTAGATGGGAGCACTCGAACTGTGATGGCAAAAGACAAACAACAAGCTCATTCTGAGCAAATCACATCTGAGTAAAACAAAAACAAGAACACTGTAAACCATAAAAGTGATCAAACGTCCATCTTCCTTTCCCACATAATTTGGGTGACCGCTACTTCTTAACCAACTATTTCTTTAATTCTTCTCTGTTCATCCACTTCTTGGATACAAACTATTATAATACTCAAACAGAATTGCCCTCTTTTTTTTTTTTCCCCTGAATTTCCCTCATGTTCTGAAAACACCTAAACCAGAGCAAAACCACACTTCTGGAATATTTCCCAAAGCACCTAACACAAGCCCAAGTCCTGTAAAAGGCCCCGACTTAAATCCCCTTATTGAGAGGCCACATGATTTCCCAAAGAATGAGATCCCCCGTATCAGTAAACCCAACTTCATGTGAGTGTATTTCCAGTGGTCTCTGGCTGGAGGACATTGGCACAGCACATAGCATAACTTGGAATCCTACAGTCATTTATTTATTTACTTGTTTATAGTCTATAACTCCTACTAGAATTTGTAGGCTCTGTGATGACAAGGATTTTATCTCTCCTATTCATCATTGAGTCTCCTAGGTTGAGCATAAGACCCGGTAGATTTTGGCAAGGATGGTTTCATGAATGAATAAATTAGCAGCAAAAGGGCTCTTTCTGTTATAACAATAGGGTTTAGACATAGTTTCTACAGATTTTGAAGCCCTAACTTAGAGATTACATTTCCTAAGGGTGAGTTTGAGCACTGGTATTTACAAGAGTTCCCTGGTCTTATGTGAAGCAACAGAGAATCCGAGATGTTGAAACTCATATTCACTTACAGTGGCAGCCTGGGGAGTGTAATAGCTCATTTTTTTCCAATGGCGGTTTTCACAGAAATAGAAAAAAAATCCTCAAATTCATATAGAACCACAACTCCCTCCTCCAATGCTCCCAAGGCAGTCCTAAGAAAGAACAAAGCTGAAAGCATTACAATTCCTGATTTCAAATTATGTAACAAAGCTATAGTAATCAAAACTGTGTGGTACTGGCATAAAGACAGATGCATAGACCAAATGAACAAAATCAAGAGCTCAGAAGTAAACTACTGTAAGAGCAGAATCAGACCTATAAATTCTTTTTTTAAAAGATTTTTAAAAAATTTATTCATGAGAGACACAGAGAGAGTGAAAGAGAGAGAGGCAGAGACACAGGCAGTGGGAGAAGCAGGCTCCATGCAAGGAGCCTGATGCAGGACTCGATCCAAGGACCCCAGGATTGCACCCTGAGCCAAAGGCAGGTGCTAAACCACTGAGCCACCCAGGGATCCCTGAATCAGACCTATAAAATCAGATGGCAAACTGATGATGGTTGCCAGAGGGAAAGGGATGGGAGGGATGGGCAAAATAGGTGAAGGGAAGTAGGAGATACAGGTTTCCAGTTATGGATTGACTAAGTTACAGGAATAAAAGGTACATCATAGGGAATATTGCTAATGATATTGTAATATAGTTGTATGGTAGCAGATGGTAGCTACCTTGTGGTGAGCATAGCATAATGCCTAGAGAAATTGAATCACTGTGTTATATGTCTGAAACTAAAGTAACACTATGTGTCAACTATACTAAAAAAAAAAAAAAGAAAATAAATTCACAATAAATTAATTAATTAAAAAAACAAACCATGTGTATACAAACAATATTTGACAGGAAAGTCAAAACTGCTCAATGGGGAAAGACTGTCTAATAAATGGCACTGGGAAAATTTGTTATTCACACAAAACTGGATCCCTGTTTTATACCACTCACAAAAATTAAAATGGACTAAGATTTACACATAATACCTAAAGCCAGAAGTCTACAAGAAGAAAACATAGGGAAAAATTCCTTGACATTGGCTTGGCAATGATTTTTTGGATAGGACACCAAAAGCATAAGGAACAAAAAAGCAAAAATGCAATAATGGACTATATCCAACTTAAAAACTACTGCACAACAAAAGAAATAATAAACAAAATGAAAAGGCAACCTACTGAATGAAAGTATTCGCAAATCATATACACAAAATATATAAGAAAACTCATTCGGGACTTCTGGGTGGCTCAGTCGGTTGGGCGACTGTGTTCGGTGCAGGTCATGGTCTCTGGGTCTTGGGATCAAGCTTCAAGTCAGG